GTAGTCAAACCGATAAAACTTATCGGCCTTTCAGTGTTGCCGCTACAAACTTATTACAAAATGTAATTTGTAGGTATTGTAATTTTAGACAGAGTAGAATTACATACTTCCTTCTTTGCCACATCGTCTACATATTAACAAAAGCCTTTTTACATTTTGTGTTGGTCGATTTTCTTTAAGATTTTTACTTAAAACATAAAGGTTGCATAACAATTTACACGTACAAAATACAAATAGATGCTTATTTACTTTAGTACCCCTTGTGAGAGCGATTTTTCATTCCATTTTTATTAAGTTAGTCCGTATAATATATGTAAGTTTTTTTTATTTTATTTAGTGAAAAATGTAACCACAGGGCTGCGGCGTTTGTACACGCAGCAATTCCTCCTCCTCTCTGACTGCCCGCTGCTCGCCTATGGTGTAACATGACTGGCACCGCTTAACGGTCGTTGATGTCGACGTATCACCTGTGTCATTCTATCTGCGGTACCGATAGCGGCGGAACGGCGCACGTAGCCGCCTACATGTCACCCTGACTTCCTTCTTTAGAAATTGCGATATCGCTAGAGATTTGACAGCGGCTGTTGCGGCCTCTGCCGCGCGGGTGCTTGATGTGGCATTGTTTGGCGCATATTTGGATAAGTCGAATTTGCGTTTAGGCGTTTGATGATTTGCGCATTGATCCTGATGATGATGCTGATGATAATGGAGGTGGTTGTGGTGTAGATGCTCATCGTCGCATTTATGCTGTGAATTGCTCATATCCAAATCGGTATCCAGTCCATCTGATGATACTGTGAAAATATCCGAATTATCGCCGGCTTTTTCGCTAGGACTTATGCAACTACCCAGGCTGCCATTGAGCAACTGCGGTGTACGTCGCAAGCTGCCACGCAACATTTGCGTTGACGGTGTGGAAGTGGCTCCAGTGTTGTTCGAGTTGGCGCTGTGCGTTGTTAAAGAGTTCGACGTCACGTGCTTTTCCTCGAGCGGACTTGCGTTGGTGCGAAGACGTGTCCGCTTGCGTGCAGGCACGAAATTGCTGTCATCATCCATAATATTGTCCTCATCGTCGCCTGCTGTGGCAACAGCATCCCCGTCTATTTCACCATCTAGTTCGTCTTCTTCATCAGCCTCTAACGCGGCATCTGCGTCGCCCTCAACTGGTGGCACTTCCTCCTCCTCCTCGATTGAATCAGCCATCGTTTCGCCGTCATCTTCTACATCATCTTCGTCGTCGTCGTCATCGTCCTCTCCATCCTCCTCCTCTGGTATACTCTCGCCTGCATCCAATTCTGTGTCGTCGTCTGCTTCTCCGCTTCCACCCTCCTCATCGTCGTTATTCTGCATTGTGCGTTTCCCATACAATTTGACTTCTGCATCACTTTCTGGTGGTGTAATAACTCCATTTCCATGTCGCCGTTGTGCATCTTTGCAACGTACTGCGGAGCTATCTGCTTGATCCTCGGCGCCTTCTTTACATTCCCTTGCCGCGTCAGGCTCTTCTTTAAAGCCGTTGCTTGCCAATTCGCCAATGTCCTGCAGAAATCGTATTTTTTGTGCCAGCTTTTGTTGTTGGCGCGCTGAGCTCTTCTTCTTTTGTACTTTCGGCCAACCAGTGCGGTTAGATTTAAGATTCTTCCTCTTGCGGAAATAATTTTGCATCGCTAACGAGCTATACAGCGAGAAACTGGCGCCAGTTTTGCGCTTGTTGCTCACATCTGCCGTTTGTTCGTCTTCGGACGCGTTGGCGCCCGTCGTATTCGTAAACAAGTCGTATAGATCAAAGTCGCTGGAGAAACAGTCGGTGGGTGGTGGCGTATTCGAGTCGAAAGGTGCTGTTGAAGCACTTGCATTTCGTTTGGCGTCCGCGATCACGGAGCTAACGCGATGTGAAGCCTTACTCGTAGAAGCCGAAGTCGAAGACGTTAGGCTATTGTTGTTCTTTGTCGTTGACGCGGTTGCTGTCGCTGCGAGTGGCACAGTTTCACTTCCCTCACGAATGGCCAAAGGTAAATCTTCCGCTAAATCATACTCCCTGCCATGCAGTTGGAGATACTTATCAATCTGCCACTCCAGCAGTCGCATATTAGTATGTTTCGTCGCGGCATCAAGTGCCTTCATCGCCGTCGCATCCACTTCGAACTCCAGTACGCCCTTCTTCGAACCAGTCTTTCGTATGGATGGTAAAGCTGAGCCTTGCGCCATAAGTCCACAGTAAGAGTGATGCCGGCGAGCACCAGGCACCGTTGCCGCAAAGCCAGCGACATGTTTTACGCGCCTATGACGCTTTGCTGGCGCTGTCGCGGCCGCCAACACACTAGGTGTTTGGCTCCTTCTGTTGGTGGCGCGGCCAGTTGTGTGCAGGAACTTTTGCAAGCCATAATAGCCACGCGGCGGTCTGCCCAGTGTCGATTTGACTGGCTGGCGGCCGCCCCGCATGCTCTTTCGTGATTTTGGCGCTACTGGCGGCGAGTGGTCATATTTGTTTTGGCCGCGACGCATGCGCTTAACATTCTCAGAGATTTCCGTTGTAAAACGTAATTCTTCGACGGGTGTGGCAACTGCTGAACGCGTATGACGCGGAGAACGCAAAACTGCTGGCAAATCAGCACTCGTCGTTGACGCATTTAGACTTTCTCCTGGATCTGCCGCCGTCGTTGCTGCTGTCGGAGTGGCTTGCTTTTCTGTCGTAGCTGTTGTTGAATTTATGGCGATTGTCGTGAGCCTCGCTGTTTCAGAAACAGACAATGGCGTATGCGTGGGAGTTGTGGACGGCTCGTCGGTTTCTGAACTCGGTTTACTTTGCGAATCTTGCCGCTGCTTTATAATACAGCTAACCAAGGCAAGCGTTGAAGCATGTTCGCGTGGTGATTTTCGTGGCGGCAGCTCTAAATTCAGGAAAGTGGCAGCGGCTTTGTTCAGATGCTTGTTGAGGTATCTGTTCTTGCTAGTTTTAGTTGTGGCCGTGCTGCTGGCACAACTCGTACTGCTCGTTGTGCTATGTGTCGAGCCGGCGCGCTGTCGATCGCGTGTTGGCCCTTGAGCTGGTGTACTGGCTTTACTATCACATTGCAATGGGTTGGAGCTATCGCCCATCTGGGCGCTAGCTTGGGCGGCTTGTCGCTTCTGCAATTCCTGTTGCTCCTGGCGGTAACGTTGCAAAATCTGCAGCTTTTTGTGTTTATGCTTGTACTGCATTGCGGCAGAGGCGGCGCTGGAATGCGTTGTAGCTTGCTCCGACTGCACATCGCCGGCACTTTCCCTCGATTTGGTAGCCCCCGCATGTGAATCCTCAAATGGCTCTGTTTTTACTTTGCATGCATTTTGTGCTTTTGAAAAGCCCTTTGTTACTTTCTTTGATGAAATATCGGCGCTCCTTTGCTTTTCGCATAGCTTACAACACACACCGGTGTCTATAGTGCTCACAAATGGTATTGGCCCCAGTTCATATGGCAACTTGCGATAGTTCGTTGAACCATAATATTCGAAAAAACGTTCCGAACAGCTATCTTGCCGCGTGAAAACGTTATACCAAATATCGGACACAGGTATGCGTTCAAAGGAGTATCTCATGCGCTTTATTTTCTCGCTGCTAGCGTAATCAAAGCTTGCTAGGGTTGTGGACCTTTGCTTCGGGGGTGATGTAGTTGGAGTAACACAGGCTGCAACTGAAGGTTTGCTACTTTTACTGTTGTTGGCAGGGGAAGTAATAATCAGCTGTTTCGCATTTGTTTGCACCTCGTTGCACTTTTTTCGCTTACCTCCTTTGCCTGTATCTTCCGTGCTCTTAGTTGCCGAGTTATCGCTACACTCCTTACAAGCTAACATAGCCAGCTTGGATTTTTGTTCTTCACGTTGTGCTGCCCGTTGTTTTCGCGAGACGGCACCCCTGCGACCACTCTGCCAAATGGCTGAAAAGCTTTCAAACGAAACGGATTTGCGCCGGCTGCTCTTGCAATGTACATAGTCTTCATCCTTCTCGTCATCATTATCAACCTCTTCATCATCATCGTCGTCGTCTTCATCATCGTCATCCAAATTCACACAGAAATTCTTCCCTAAACCTGTGTCGCCATCAACCGCCGTCTTCTCTTTATTGACGAAAGTACTTCCATCATCGTCTTCTCCACCTTTCTTATCTTTACTTTCGCTCTCAAAATTTTTCACATCTCTACATTTTTTATCATTTCCAGCATCCCCCATCCGATCCTCCATTTTTACAACTGCCACACGTTTACGGCCCTGCTGCTTCGGTGCTGCTATTGCTGCCGTCGGCAAGAGCTTTGTCGTCACTTCGTTGGCATACGACTTTTTGCTTGTATTTCCCAATAACTCATTGGCCGCTGCCATTTGTCGACAGTTATGCTTTGCTGCTTCCACGGCTGCTCGTAGCAATCGGCTGCTTGTGGTTGCTGCCGTCACAATAGCGGTGGCGGTGCGGCTGCTTTTGCGTGTTGCCTCGGGTAAAGTAATAGCGGCTAGTGCAGCTGCAGCGGCAGCTGCTGCTGACATAGCATACCTCGCTGTGTCGGTGACGTTACCTATTGTCGGCTTCGTAGACGCATAATTGCGTGATACTTGCTTGTCCTTTAGTTGTATCTCTGGCTGGATGGGGGCGTTTCGAAAGCGCTGCTTAGAGGCAGCGGTCGTCTGGCTTTTTCGTCGCTTTGCAGTGACAGTTGCGCGCTTTGCCGCATGTTTTCCCTCCGCCGATTTGCCATCATCATTTGCTGT